TTGAAAATGTTGCGCATGCTGGGCCTGGGTGCAGCTTCCAGAAGGGGTCCAGGGCGCAGGCAACTGGGACTGGGCGCAGCCAGGCTAGAGGCTGCTCGGCCTCTCCAGACAATACAAAAGACTGGAGGGCGCAGCCTCCAGACACATCCGGGCACTGCGCCAATGCGGCAGCGCTGCTGAAGCAGGAGCTGAGCACTGCGCCTGAGGAGGAAGCTGCGCGGTGGCACCGAGGAAGAAAGGGGTGAGGCTGCCAAAGCCGAACTGCACTCACATGTAGCTGAGTGGCGGTGGAGTAGCGGTGGTCGTTGAGGGAGAAGGGCTGTGGGAAGAGAGAGGAGATGAGGGCAGTGTGACGAGGAACGTACCTGGTGTGCTGAAGGCAGGTTGTTCAATCAGAATCTTCAAGCAACATTGGGTCGATGACAAGTGGAACCTGTTATAGTAGTATGTCGGCTAGATGATAGGTTTAGCTGTAGGTGGAACTGGCAGATAGCCGCCTATAGGAGGGCTACATTGTTGATGCGTTGGTGATGGGAGGCGTTGGATGGGCTTTCATTGTCAAGAGACTTCAATGCTTTGCTCATTGTGATCTCTCTTTGTTTTCTGCTTTCAGTTTTGGCTCATTGACATCTGGTCTTCTGTGAGACATTGCAATTTGGTTTGTCGCTGTTCGCATTGCTTATGTCCTTGCATTTCCATCAGCGAAAAAAAATCCAAACGGAAACAGGGATGTAAGGTAGCTTCCACCTCATCTATGGAATATATTAGATTTTTTATTTTTATTTTTTTTTTGCCCGCCAAAAACTATTGCTGCCAAACCAAAGTCATGTCAATCGGAGTCTCCCTGACCCAGTAGGCCTGATGTTTAAGGGCTCCAGAGGCCATGGTCGGTCGTTTTTTTGGTTCAACAACTTAGGGTCCGCTGCACTGGTGGTTTAAGATTGAAAGGTTGGATTCCATAACCAAGCTGAAGCAGTTTTTGTCGAGTGCATGGTCATTATGGTTATGACATGTGTCTGACCCATTTCAAGTCCTGACTAGCCCGTCCTCCCGTTATCATTATGTTCTGTAACAGACCTTTGAAACTGTGCTTGGCTTTCACATAAATATGGAGGAGAACTTTTTTGACGTTGGTGGCAGGTAGGTTTATGCAGATGGATGGTCAGTGAATGGGGGAAGAGAGAAGCAATGACGCTTTGACCGAAGCAAATGAATTTCAGAAATACTGTGTACCATGCTGTCGTTCCAAAGTATTTTAAACCATCTGTGCTTGCTTCTTCTCTTTCCTACTTTTGTTGCCTGTACCTTTCCTTTTTGTGTGCTCTTCTCTTCTCTTCTCTTCTCTTCTCTTCTCTTCTCTTCTCTTCTCTTCTCTTCTCTTCTCCTCTCCTCTCCTCTCCTCTCCTCTCCTCTCCTCTCCTCTCCTCTCCTCTCCTCTTCTCCCCTCTTCCCTTCTCTTCTCCTCTCATCTCTTCTCTCCTCTTCTCTCCTCCTTTCCTTTTCTCTCCTCTTCTCCTCTTCTCCTCTTCTCCTCTTATCTCCTCCTCTCCTGTTCTCTTTTCTCCCCTCCCCTCCCCTATTCTTCCTTCGTCTCCCCTGTTCTACCCTATTCTACCCTCTTCTCCCTCTTCTCCCCTCTTCTCTCCTCTTCTCCCCTCTTCTCCCTTGTTTTCCCCTCTTTTCGCCTCTTCTCTCTTTTCCTCTCTTCTCTCCGCTTCTCTTTTCACTCTGCTTCTCATTTCTCTGTTTTTCTCCCCTCCTCTCTCCTCTTCTTACCTCTCCTCTTGTCTCCTCTTCTCTCCTCTTCTCTCCTCTTCTCATATACTCTCTTCTCCCCTCTTTTCCCCTCTTCTCCCCTTCTATCTCCTCTTCTTCCCTTTTCTCCCCTGTTCTCCTCTGTTCTCGCCTCTTCTTGCCTCTTCTCCCCTCTTTTTGCCTCTTTTTGCCTCTTTCTCTCTTCTCCTCTCTTCTCCTCTCCTCTCCTCTTCTCTCCTCTTCTCTCCTCTTCTCTCCTCATCTCCCCTCTTCTGGCCTCTTCTCCCCTCTTTTGGCCTCCTCTCGCCTCTTCTCACTTTTTCTCACCTCTTCTCTCCTCCTCTGAGCTCCTCTCTCTGTCTCTCTCCTCTGCTTTTCTCTCCTCTTCTCTCCTCTGTTTTCTCTACTCTTGTTGCTTTTTTCTGTTCTGCTCCTGTCCTCCTCTCTCCTCCTCCCTCCTCCATTGTCTTCTCCCCTCTTCTCACCTCTTCTCTTCTCTCTCACCTCCTCTGTCCTCTCTTCTCACCTCTTCTCCCCTCATCTCGCCTCTTCTCCCCTCTTCTCTCCTCTCCTCGCCTCCTCTCTTCTCTCCTCTCTCCCCTTTCCTCTGTTCACTTCTCCCCTCTTCTCTCCTCTTCTCCTCTTCTCTCCGCTTCTCTTCCTTTGTCCCCTCCTCTTCTCTTCCTCTTCACCTCCTCTTCTCCTCCTGTGTCCCCTCCTCTTCTCTTCCCCTTCTCCTCCTCTTCTCCCTCAACCCCCCCCTCTCCTCTCTTCTTCTCTCTTCTTTTCTCCACTTCTCTCCCCTCTTCCTGCATCGTCTCGCTTCTTCTCCCCTCCTCTCCTCCTCTCTTCTCTCCTCTCTCCGCTTTCCTCTCTCCACTTCTCCCGTCTTCTCCTCTTCTCTCCCCTTCTCTCCTCTTTGCTTCCTTTGTCCCCTCCTCTTCTCTTCCTCTTCACCTCCTCTTCACCTCCTCTTCTCCTCCTGTGTCCCCTCTTCTCTTCCTCTTCTGCTCCTCTTCTCTCCTCACCCCCCCCCTCTCCTCTCTTCTTCTCTCTTCTTTTCTCCACTTCTCTTTTCTCTTCTTCTCTTCTCTTCTCTTCTCTTCTCGTCGATCCTCTTCTCGTCTCTTCTCGTCTCCTCTCGTCTCTTCTTGTCTCTTTTCGTCTCTTCTCGTCTCTTCTCTCCTCTTCTTTGCTCTGGTCTTCTCTCCTCTTCTAAGTCTTTTTTCTCTTTTCTTTCCTCGCTTCTCTCACTTCATTTGGCTTTGCTCTCCTCTCCTCTCCTCTCCTCTCCTCTCCTCTTATCTCTATACCCTCCTTACGTCCTTTCGTTCTAAGAACCCAGCTGAAGGGATGCTACGGCCTATCAACAAACCTAGGGGAAATGATAGAGAGCATACCTCTAGCTTGGGGAAACGGAGAAAAGGAACACATTACGTGGGGAAAAAGGCTACTGGGCATAGAAAAAGGGTCAGGACAAACCTCCATCAAACACAAAGGTAAAATCAATATTTCATTACGAATCTACGATTGATTCTTTGGGATCCTCTCTTTGAGTTTGGTTGGGACATCCGTTAAAATCAGAATGATACAGAGCAAATTAGCATGGCCCTTGCGCAAGGATGACACGCATAAATCGAGAGTTTGGTGGTTGTTATTCCTTTGTATTGTCTTGTGCTCTTGTTTCCAGTCAGTTTAATTTGGGAAATCTTCTGGGTTCATTCATTGACTTCATTGCGAAGTGGGCGATGACGCTCAAATCATGCAGAGCATTTGAGGGGCCAGTCTTCGAGAATGTGGCATTCAAGGGATTATTCCAAAGTGTGGCATGTGTATCTTCACTCTTGGATGTAACTTCACTTTCCGTTCTGCTCTCATGGTGCTTGTGAATATGTCGATCATCATTCGGCAAGTGTAAATGCATGTGAGACCTGCCGACTGAGAACCATCTCCTGGGAAATCTTCCCAGTTGATTTTGTTCATTCCCCAAGTTGAGCACTAACTCAAGTTCTATTTCGTTAAGGAAGTTAAGGAACCAAATTGAACTCAAAGTCTGACATACATTTTCCTCATGTTGTGGCACATCTGTGCTGTGGGCACTGGCCAATTTCGTCACAGCTCTGTTCTAGCAGCTCATGTGGTAAGTTATTCGTTCAGCCAACCATCTCTCTCTCTCTCTCTCTCTCTCTCTCTCTCTCTCGCTCTCTCCTGTCTCTTATACACATCTAGATGTGTATAAGAGACAGCATCAGGACACTGTTAAGTGCACTGCGAGCACAG